TTCATTAATGTTAATAAACTTTGATATGTATCTATCCACAATTCATTTAAACCAAATAAGGTTTAAATGAAATATCATTTAAAGGTTGCCCTAAGTTTTTAAACATAAATAATATGAAATATAAGACAATATATTGATTTGGCCATCTTAATTTAAATAGTATGAATAACAAATGGTAATAAATTGTGTGGGAAGAATGTGATTTGTTTTCTCTCTCTTTGAAGTTTAACTTCTTTAGAAATCTTTAAATACAAATTACTAATTTTTAAAATATTACTACAAGGTTCCAAAATCAGTAAGTTTGGAAACTATTTTAAGTTAACGTTATGGATAGTATAACCACTCTTAATAACTAAGAATATAGCAAAACAGTAAGAAACCTCAAAACTTCACCCAGATAGTATAATATTTGCAATATTGTCTGATTCCAACATTTACAAGATTCCAATTTATAAGGATGTTGATCATTTATTTAACTCATTTTAATTATATGCCCAGTATTATATGCTTTTCAATATTAATAGAAATAATAATCATTTGACCTGCAAGGGAACTGTAAGAGATTTAGGAAATTCTTTAATTTAGACTTCTTATTAAAGAAATACAAAGCCTTATGTGAGCTAAAAAACCATGTTTGCATTTTGATTTCTCATTGTAGTAAAATCAGGAACAAGTCCCCTAGCCATCTTTTAAGCCTCAAGTTGCAGAACAAATTAAATTATCTAATGATTTACCTTGATTTAGGCCCATGAAGCCTGTCCCATTAATCCAAAGGCTCTTGTGAGTGCCATTCATCTGTCACCTGTGGTACCTTCGTTAGACTATGCAAAGAACAGACAACTTCTGCAACATTATTGCTCTAGCAAGAACTCTCTTGCCATTTCTCAATTTCTAATTCATATCAGAAAAACAATCTCACGCTCAAATAACAACAACAAAAAATTACAAAATTCTTGGGCCACCTGGAAATTACACAGCAGACATTTTCAGAAAAGAAAAATACATTCACAGCTGTTCTGAGCTCTTGCAGAGCTCCTCCTCCGGGACCGCAGTTCCTCCCGACTGAGGAGTGGCAGCTTTCTCAGGGGGTGGCTTTTGAGCAGCAGTTTTCTGATCCTTGCCTGCTAGCAGCACAGGAAAGCTTACTCCACTGGGCCTCGACTCATAAAGAAAGCTCTGGCATCTTGCATCAGATGAAGTTCTACCCTGACCAACTCTCAAACCAAGAGATGCTTATTCTAGGAACGTGGATTGCTTCCTCTGAGTCAACTGCATCGAGGACCGCCTTATATACCCAATGACAGCTGGTCAGAGCCACAGATAGCAATTAATAAGAACAACAACAAAATTATAATTTGCTTACTTTTAAGAGGCTTTGGAAATTTTCAGTCAAGGGCCTCATTTTACTGACACGGTTGAGAGATAGTTGGGCCAGTTCCTCAGCAGGACCCAAATGTAAGTTAGTCTGTCTCCTCCATTTTGCTGGCTTATATTTCTAGGGGTCAGTTTGAAGCCACAAACCTCAGCTCTCAGCTTCCCTTTTGAGTGAATCACCAGTGATTGATGTTATACATTAATATAAACAAGACAAAACCTTCGGACTCTAGAAACACAAGAAACAGAGTTATATTTTTTATTACTTTATGCATGTGAGAGGAGAGGAGAGTGCTAATGATCCTTTTTCAGATTTGACAAAATATTTTCAATATTTGTAACATTTAAGAATTCAGAAATATCCATTTGACTATTACAAGAGTGACACATTATTAAATAAGACATTTGATCAAAATTACAGACTTAATAGTACTTAAGGATTGTTTTCACAAGACATGGTGATAATTTCTAAAGTCCAGGTATCTTATAAGATCCCCTTGTTATGATAAAACAAAAGTAAAACAAAGCAAAACTATTCTTATAAAATATTTTCTGATTTGTAATATCATCTGCTTTTCTTTGCAGCTGCAAGGAAAAGCGGAAATATTTTATGAGGCTGAGATTTCATTCATCAAGAATTAGGAGGTCCATAGCTGAAATTCTATTAATTAGCACTAAAAAAAAAAAAGAGGAAAGCCTGAGAAACTCAAATTTATAATATGGAGAGGATAAGAGCAAAACAGATTGTGAACAAAAGGACTTTAGGGCATGTAATATTTATATCTCCAGTTAAAAACATGTTTTAAATATTTTCAGTAACATTTCTCTTTTTTGCTTCACAAATGAGCTACATTTTGTTTCATTTTTGTTTTATGTACACATATATCTAGAAATTTTCAAGTTATATTGCCTGTTTTTAATTTAATTGGTGATTATTAGTTTTACTCTTCAGGTTTTTTTCACTCAAATATACGCTTAATCAAATTCAAAAGGATTAAAACATTTAAAGTACCCTTATGTAAATCAACATATTTAGTATATTTCTATCATATGATGTCCAGTATGTTAATTTAATCTAGGATTACAGGGACCAGATATTTTACACTTCAAACTCTTTCAAAACTTTTCTGACTTTTTATCATGGCAAGGAATACGAATACAATTATTTAGACTTAATTCTATATAGTTAATATTTATCAATATATAGTGCTAGCTTTTGTTTTCTTAAACTCGCTTTTCCCACTTACAAAATCTTAATTCTGATTCATTGCATTATCGGTTGGTACAATTTTAAACTAACGTTTTCATGAAATGTATGTGAATGCTATGTTTTATAACTTCCTTTATATCCTTCAATTGCATTCATAGATGAATGACAACTATCTGGGTCTTAGGCCCCCACTTTGTTCTTAGCTCTTCGACTTTGCTGTATTACTTTTTAACTTGTAGTGTTCTAAAGAGAAGTCTGAGGACAACCTGACACTTCAGCCCCTTAACTCCCGCTCACCTTCTCAGTTTGTGGGTCCCTTTTTCTCATTAGTGTTGTCAGGATTTTTTTTTTATTACTTTTGCATTGTATTATTTTTTATCTGCTGGCAATCTTTTTTTCTTTTCTGCTCAGAAATCATTTCTTTAAATTGGATTTTTAAAATGGTTTCAGGGCTCACTCTCTCGCTTTTTCTCTCTCTCTTTTTCAAGAGCATCTAATAGTCATTGGTTGTAGCTGTTTTCCTACATAACACTTATTTTTTGTCATTTTAATCTTTTTTCCCCCTTACTTCTTGGGGAGTTTCTTAAATTTATTCTCATTGGTTTTGCTCTTTATTCCTTCAAATGCAGATTTCAGTTTTCTACTGTTTTTAATTTCATTGCACTCTTTTATCTTAAACCTGCTCCCTTTCTCAATCTGATCTCCACTTATGACATGCTATTTTTGTTTCATAGTCTGCACCTTTCTATATGTACTTTTAAAATGTAAAGCAAGCTTCCTAAACATTTTCTTTTGTTTCCTAGTTTTCCTTTTTTATACATGTGCTTATTTTCTGTCCCTTGGTGTAATGTTCTCTTTCTCGTAAACTTTAATATTTTATCCACAGGTCTTTTAATATTGGAATCTTTTTTTGTTTAGAAGACCTCTATCCAAACACAATATATAAGATTTTCCTTGTTTCCCTAACTGTCAGGGCTGCCATAACAAAATATCACAGATTGGGTAGCTTAAAACAACAGAAGTTGGGGCCGGCTCCGTGGCCGAGTGGTTAAGGACGTGCACTCCGCTGCGGTGGCCCAGGGTTCGGATCCTGGGCTCAGACATGGCACCGCTCATCAGGCCACGTTGAGGCGGCATCCCACATCCCACAACTAGAAGGACCTACAACTAAGATATACAACTGTGTACGGGGTGGGTTGGGGAGATAAAGCAGAAAAAAAAAACAAAACAGAAGTTTATTTTTCACAGTTCTGGAAACTGGCAGTTCAAGATCAGGGTGCTGGCCGAGTTGGTTTTTGGTGAGGCTTTTCTCCTTGGCTTGTGGACGGCCACCTTGTCACTGTGTCCTCACATGACCTCTATTGTGTGTGCATGTATTCCTCATGTCTCTTCCTCTTCTTACAAGGATACCAGTCCTGTTGCATTAGGGGTCTGCTCTTGACTTCATTTAATCTTACTTACCTCCTTAAAGGCCCTGTCTCCAAATACAGTCACATTGGGAGTTAGGGCTTCAACATATGAATTTTAGGGAACACAGTTCAGTCCATAACACCTTTTCAGGGCAAGTTGATGTTTTCAGCCATAGGCTATATTCTAGGTCATCCACTTAGGTCTAATTCTGGACTAAGGAGGAAGCTTCTCCTGTTCCTACCTCTATATACCCTGATTTTGACGAAGAGAGCCAATTTCTAAGGAACTTGAGTTGCTAAGTCCTTGATTAAAAGGAATAACTAAAACAACTCCAGGTTCTAGGAATGCGGCTGCTCTATGACTTGTCTTACACAGCTGGCATCAGGCTCAGCCATGTCCAAAGCACAAGTTGTCTCTAAATATGAGTCTCTAAAAATATGGGCGCTAAATGCACTTCTTTTCTTCTGCTGCTTCCCTTCCTCTTTTACTTTACTTTTAGAAACCATTTTATTTATGATTTACTTCCTGTTTTCACTCTTAAGGACTGGGTTCCTCAGAAAACATGCGTTGACTCTTATGAATAAATGAGCTCTTGGCAAGACAGTTGTGGGAGTCACAGGTGTTGCCCCTGATTTCCTGCCATCTGTTTCAGAAGTCAGAGCAAGGATATAGGCATCCTTCAATCCACCTTCTTCCATGTTGTAGTTAAAGGAAATTCTTCCCAGATTAAAAAAAGGTTATTATTTAAAAATATTTTTGAATGTTTTCATACACATTTTCTTAGGGAACTGGGGATGTGGGGATGGAAGAGACAAGCTCCCCACCTTCCCCTTCCTAACTCTCTATCAGAGCCTGTGCTTTAGTTAAATAACTCACATTCTATGTAGAGAAGGTGGATTTTCAGAACAGGTCCCAAAGAATGGGAGACCACATCCTCTGGCCACCTGAGTGTTGGTTATAATTGTTCTCTGAGGAGTGGTCATTTTTATTTTTCTGTATTTTCCAGCTTGGAATCCTGTGATCTAACTACAGTTTGTTGTCTGGATATCTCTAAGGCTCTCGTCAGAAGCCAGAGCCTGATATTTCTGAATCTGTCGACCAATAATCTTTTGGATGATGGAGTAAAGCTGTTGTGCGAAGCCTTAAGACATCCAAAGTGTTACCTAGAGAGACTGTCGTGAGTCTTTGTTTTGTCTTCCATAGAGTCATTTTGTTCAGTCTTATGTAGGTTAATTATTATCTGAATGGAGAAACTGCTTGGGTTTTGACCCCAACTGGTTCATTTGTCAATCCTAGGTGAGCTCCTCCTTTTCTTCCTCTACTGCCCTTCCTCTTTTCTTGACTTTTAGACACTTCCTTTCTTCACGACTGGCTTCTTTTCATTCTTCTCACAGCTCCTCTCCCCTTCTATGTTTTGTTTCATCATACCCTGTACATAGCTGCAGTGGAATTTATAATTTAAGTAGGTTTTGGTGAGGTTGATTCTATAGTAGAAATGTAGGAGTTGTAAGTACCAGCCAACTTTCCTGGGAAGGAGAAGAGAAGCATGAACTTTGGGATTTGACTGAGCCTTCCCATCTGTTCCTCCTTCAGCTTAGAAAGCTGTGGCCTCACAGTAGCTGGCTGTGAGGATCTTTCTTCAGCTCTCATCAGCAATAAAAGGCTGACACATCTGTGCTTGGCAGACAACAACTTAGGAGATGGTGGAGTAAAGCTTATGAGTGATGCCTTGAAACATCCACAGTGCACTCTACAGAGCCTTGTGTAAGTGTCTCCTTGTTTTCAGCCTTCTAATATAATATACATTTTGAAATATATTTAAAATGGAAAAATATTATGAACATAGTCTGTCCCTTTCTTTTTCCCTGCTGTTATCCTTACTGATAGTAAAGATGATGAAGATGATGGTATTGATAATTGCCATTTATTGTGTCTTTACTCTGTACTGGGCCCTGTGCTAAATTTATTTAATCTGCACAAAAGTACCTGTTGGTGTCAAATTGGCCACCTGTGTTCTAAGTGCCTCATTGTACAGGTCAGGAATGTGAGATTTAGAAAGATTATGCAACTCGCCTGGTGTTCACAAAATAATGATGGATTCAGGACTAAATTCTGCCTATCCAATTCCATATTCTGAGTTCAGAACAGGTAAATACATATGAATATCATTAAACGGAAATACAGAATTCCATAGTATGGCTGGATCACAGTGTGATTATTCTGTTCATTGCTGTTAGATAATTTCCTAAATGTGGAATTGATGAGCCAAAATTTTTATTTTGTTGGATATGGTTAAGTTTCCTCCAAATAGATTGTTTATATTCCCTCAGCAGTCTAGAGGCCTGCATTTTAATACCCTCACTGAATATAATCGTTTTGATCAATATTAATTAGGTAGTTGAAAATAACTTTAAAAATGATTTGATGTTGAGCATGTTTTCAAATGTTTTCGGCCTTTAATATTCCAAGAATTGCCTCTTCACAGGCTCAGCTTTCCTCTGAATGTTTTCTATTATATATGTTATATATTATGGTTACTAATATTACATATATATTATTACTATTATTTTTATATATTGTAAATAATTTACCTAGCATGTTTCTGTATTTCTTTCTTTATGCTCATTTTTAGAATATAGAAGTTTAAAATTTTTGTGAAATCAAATTATCTTCCCCTTCATGACTTCTAGAAGTTTTGTCATAATTGGAAATACTTTTCTTTTAAAAAAATCCACTTATGTCATCTTTTTCATACTCTCTATGGTTTAATTTTTAACATTTAAATGTTAAATTATTCCAAATTAATTTTGTTATAAGGCTTAAACTTATTTTCCCCATATGTCAGGTCTGTTGTCCCAGAATCATTTATGGCATGTCTTTTCCCTACTGATCAGAAATGCCACTTTTATTATGTACAAAAAGTACTTACTTGATTATGATTACTACCATTCTACTCCATCTGCGTGCTCCTCTGCTCCATGTAGCTACTTCTGCAATAGAGTAATATATCTATGTACAATGTAAAGAGGTTAGCATTTTATTTATAAATGCCTGCCTAACAACAGGGATACATTCTGAGAAATGAGTTGCTAGGCAATTTTCTTGTTGTGCAAACATTGTAGAGTGTACTTACACAAACCTAAATGGTATATCCAACTACACACCTAGGCTATATGGTACTAATCTATGGAATCACCATTGTATATGCAGTCCATCATTGACTGAAATATTGTTATGTAGAGCATGACTGTAGTAAGTAAAATTCTGATGAACAAGTATCCAGTTTGTAGCCCAATTTAGTACAAACCTAAGTATCCCAGATGAGAGAGCCAAAGAGGCAAGGAGGGAAGTGGGTGTTTCACCTGAGATGGAGAGTTGGCAAGTAGACGGGATCATAACATGAAACCTTTTTAAAGATGTAAATCTCTGGCAGTAGAGCAATGATTCCATCTTTCCTTTCATTGTCCTTCCTATAGGCTGAGGCGTTGCCATTTCACTGCACTTAGCAGTGAACATCTGTCATCTTCTCTCCTACACAACAAGAGCTTGACGCATCTGGATCTGGGCTCAAACCAACTACAAGATGATGGAGTAAAGCTTCTATGTGATGTCTTTCGACATCCAAGCTGTAATCTTCAGGACCTGGAGTAGGTTTTCTGTGACCCTATTTTTCTGTACTTTTAACTACTTTGAGGGCAAGGAGATATGGAAAGAAAGGCTGAGAGCTGAGTATCTGTCAGAAAAAATATGCGGCTGATTTCCTCTCTCTCATTCTGCCTGAGACAAGCTAGGGAAGTCTGCTCATCAGATTTTTCTTAAACAATTACTACAGTAACTACAGTCAACTTCCCTCATGGAAGGAGGACCAGAGACATCTGACTGAACAGTAGCCATTTTGTTTTTCCTTGATTGTGCCCCCCTGAGGCTACTGTGTGTCCTCCACCTTACATCCATGAAGTTGAAATTGTGCTCTACTAGTTTTTTTTTCTTAAATTCGGGCTCACAATTTGGTCAACTTTAAAGAAACTAAGAAGGGAATTTTTAAAAACATCCTACAATCCAGTCATTCTTAAACAGCAACCGTTTTTATTCCTATTATGTTCTCTCTTACTCTATGTGTGGGTGGGTATACATACGCAGGCATGATATGTGATATATAATTGTGATTACTGTATAGACATGACTTTGAGGTTTCCTTTTCACACAACAGTATTTCAGAAACACATTCAAATACTTACATATAATCATCTTATTGATTATTTTAATGGCTGCATGATAGTTAACAGTTCATCATATAAATATTTGGGCTAGAATGAAGCAAGATAGAGGTGTCACTTTGCAATCTCATCTCACTTTCCCACGAGGGCCTCCCATGGGACTAGTAGGCGGGGTGAGTCATTAAGGTCTAATGCCAGCATTGTTTTTTTATAACTATAAACTCAAGATCATTGGTCTACCCAGAAGTGTTTGGCTTGAGTGGACTGACTCATAATAACCAAATTTCCAAATGAGTTTAATAGTTGATTGTCACATCTGTAAAAACTAAGGTGATTGAACTTTTGAATCCAATAAGCACCTGTACTTCCTTTAAGAAAACATGGGTTACAATGTGATTCTCTAAAGTTTCCTTGATTGTTAAATTGCAGAAGACAAAATTTTACTTAATGGAAATTATCATCAAATCCAATGCCTTCATTTCAGCGACAGAGATATAATTTCTAAGCAACCTACACACACACAAGATGTTTGCTTATCCCACTTTCTCTGCTTAGCATTGCTGTAAACATGTAGACACATTTGTGCTGTCTTAGCTACCTCATTGCCTCTATGCAGGCCATGCCAGTTCTCTCAACCAGAATCACAACAAATATGAGCTAGATTGCTGGATGCTGAGGAGCTAGATGCTGAGGAGACTAAAGGTTATGACTAAGGTGACACCCTTGTCCTAGGTAACTCACAAGGCAGGGAAATAAACAGAAAGCCAACTATAATATATTCCATATGTTGTTATAAGGATATGACAGAAGGCCCAAGGAGGAAGGAGTGGGACAAAGGAGACTGAGTTACTTTGGGTTTGAAAGATGAAGAGGACTTTGTTATGTACAGATACCCTAGGCAGAAGGAAAGAAGAGAGAAAAGAAGGGGAATGAGGATAGATGTGGTATATTTGGGGAAAAATGGATCTGTGTAGTTGGAGAATAGGGTGAGGACAAAGTATGGAAAGAAAGCCCTTGAAGCTAGATTGTGAATGCTCTTGAATTCCCTTTAAGGGACCTGTAAAAATTCTCATTTTATATGTAGCTGGTTTCTTTCTTCTTTCGAGATAATGCTTTAAGATAGATTCCTGGAAAACATTTTTATTTCAAAATATATTAGAAACAGAAAACATAGAGATCTGTGGGTTCCTTGGGAAAACTTAGACCTGTTTTTTCAGTATTGGTAGAAATAAGTGTTCATGCTCTTGATTTGGGAAGCTTGGTAGATACCAACCTGTTTATGGGAGAAAGCAGTTTCACCCTTTGGTTTTTTTGGCTCATTAAGAAACCCCATCTGTTTCTACTGGTGATGTTAGACTTTCCCGTGTGCATCCTGGATTGTAGACAAGAAGAGGTCAGAAAAAAGGCTCAAATATCTGGGCATCTGTCCTAGGAAGAAACTAAGCTTCGCAACTGAAGGCCTCGCTTCTCATTTGTATTTCTTCCAGATTGATGGGCTGTGTTCTCACTAGTGCATGTTGTCTGGATCTGTCTTCTGCTATTTTGAACAACCCAAATTTAAGAAGCCTCTACCTTGGGAATAATGATTTGCAGGATGATGGAGTAAAAATTCTGTTTGAAGCTTTGAGACATCCAAACTGTAACATACAGAGGCTTAGGTGAGTTCAGTTTCCATTAGGAAAATGATACCTATTTGATGACTAGTATAGCTAGAAGAAATTTAGTATATGGAGAGAGGATGAAAAATAAATGGGGCTAAAAGGTGAGTTACTCTCAGAATTAAGAATCTGAATCTCGAATATATGGGTCAATGTATTGCATGTTATTAATATAGAAGCCATATTTCACATTTCTTTGTGTCCTTCTTAGTGCCTTGGACAGGGTATGTATTAAGTAAATGGTACTTGATTTAGTTCTTCCATGTTCTCTCCTTCAGATATTCCCTCTATCCTTGAATGATTTTTTCTTATTAAATCAAATATTTTACTAATAATCCTCTATATGGAAAAATGATATTTATGCCCTCAAGGAGTTTGTAATCTAATGAAATCTTATCCTATATTCTGAGTACTTTTTATGTTGAATAATCTATTGTTTAGATTTCTATTTTCTTTTTAAATCTTGACCTGATATTGGCTAGGACATTTTTACTTATATAGTATGTATTATCGACCTCTGGGTCAAAAATTTTGCCCTACATGTGGGAATCCCAGACACTATGATATGTCTCATCCTTTAGAAATTTAACAGTCTCCAAGACTCTTCCAAGAAGGTGCTGCTTTTCCTATGTTTCCATCGACTGTTTATTATTTTTATCACAACAATGATGATGTTGTAACTGTTGGATCTGAAATTTCATTTTATCCTGCTTATAACCTAGTAAGTTAGCCTATTACTGTTTCACGGATGCTGACAGGAGACACAGAGTCCTATCAGGACAGAGGACTTTATTATTCATAGCATAGCAGCATAAGCATTAGCATGTTTGTGTCAGTTTCCCTTGTCCCCCAAATCCCACAGGGTCAGTGTGAAGGGCCCAGATGGATGTCTACACATACAGTGAGTTGCATCCCAGGAGAGGAACATTGAGCTTGAGGGACACACCATTTTATAACTAGCAGTGAACAAGCCTGCACTTTGTCCTGGAGGGAGACCACCTCATCCCTCAAGGTTGCTCACTGCATACACACCCTAGGAAATGCCCCAGGTAAAGAGTTGTCAGGACCTTGCATTTTTGTCAGCAAAACATATCGAAGAGCAAAAGACCCATGGAAGGATGTCTCCCAACAATATCCACCCCTTTTTGCTACACCCTACACTTATGTCTTCTGGTGAATTTTCACATCTATATGCCACTCCGATCAATCTGACCAGCAGAGGCTGGGACCAAATCTTCTCAGTTTTTCTCATACATCATTTAATTAAGGCCACCATCAACAAGACTGTAAGCACAGGATGAGGTCAGAATGCAGTACTGATTTCAACTATGCCCCAGGGTCCTGGGCTCAAGTCAACTGAGAAAGACTCAGGGACCAATAGGTCATGTTATCCGTTACAACTCATGAAAGGGAATTTAGAATGACCTGCTGATCTTGGTGTCACTGATAATAAATACAGGGGGTAAAAAATCAGCCGAACTAACCCCTTCCCCAATAAAGAGACATTCAATGGTCCACACTTGCCCACATACAAACATATAACCCAAAGGAGCACAGATCACTCCAGTGTGGGATTTGTTGTTATGTTTCATTTGGGTCACCATTACAGCAGTTTTGTTAAGTGGGGTGGGAAGTGTCACTGAGTAGTTACAGCTGCCTTGTTTGCCACATATGGCATAACCCAAGGCTGTTCCAGCATCAAGAGAAGCTTATGAATTTGTATCAGTCAGACTGAAACAAGGTTGTACCAGTTGTTATGTTTGTATACATGTGAGGGGGTCAACTTTTGGGGGCTGCCATTGATGGCCTCAGGCACAGCGGAATAGTTCCGAGCCTGCCCTGTCCACATGAGATTTTCTGTTTTCATAGCATTTGGAGAGGTAACAACTGGGCTGAGAGTCAGATTGCCAGCTGCAGCTGCTGCTTGACTCAAGAAGAACACATCATTATTTTGTCAGGCAGCAGTGTTGGATTAGGGGTAAAAAAGAGAGGCTTAATTGTTCTCCCCACTCCATGTACCTCCCAGGTTCTGAAGTGTTCTTTTCCCAAGTATTGGTGTTGCTACTCTCCACCCCCATTACCCAGGAGGTGGCCAAAACCAGATGAACCATTTCAGGGGATAGCCACATTTAGTGATCAAATTGCCCTACTAAAAGTATGTAGACCAGGAGCTGGTGAAGAAGAGAGTCAGAAATCCTTTTGATTTAATTTTGAGGAGCCACTCCAGAGCTCAGCAATACCAGATGCCTGTGGATGCTAGGAACTGTGGAATGTTCATTGAATACTTTGACTTTCATTGTTTCTTCAAAATGGAAGACATGGGTGCTATACTATTCCTTGATGTTTTGCGTATCTGCAAATGTCCTAGTTTTCTAAGAATGTGAATGACAGGTTGGCTGTGTTCATAATATTTTGGTCATTCTTCCTCTGAGAGTTCGACAGAGAGAGTCCATTGCCTGCTAGCATTGAATCTAGTAGAAAAGTCTGAAACCAGCTGATTCTTCCCCCTTAATGTCCTTATTGGTTAAAAATTCCTTTCATTTTTGCGGGGCGGGGGTGGGGGCGGTGCTGGATGTCCATACACTTGGTCCTGAGGCCCAAGAATTTGTCCTGTGTTGAATTTTCTTTATTAATATTTTTCTGGAGAAATGGTGTGCCATTTAATCTGTAATTGTTCTCTTTTTTGGTAAGGTTTCTTTTCTTTAATTTCTGCTCATCTATTTGTTGAATTTTTTTTCAGGGTCACTAATTTTGTTTAGGTTGGATCTCTTTTGTCTGTCTTTCTTATCTGTAATTTTCGTTAATCTTTTAAGACTTATTCTTTTTCTTGATTTTTTTCCTAACCCATCCTACCTATTCCTGAGTGTATTTTCAGCAGCTATGATCTCCTTTTTGCTTCTTCTAATGTGACCTTCATTTTATAATTTTTATTTTTCTCTTCTGTTATTTTTAAGCTCTGCCAAATCATATTTTAAACAGTTTCATTATGAAATATAAAATATATACAGAAAAGTGAATATTTTAAAAACCAAACATGTCTGTAACCACACCTGGGTCAGGAAATCGCATTTCCCCATAAACTAAATTACCCTCAAACATCTCTTCCAAATCAAAATTTCTTTATTCCTCCCCAAGAAATAACCATTATCCTGATCTTTATGGCAGTTATTTATTTGTTTTCTGGTACAGTGAATCATGAGTGTATGTAATCCTAAACAATATAGTTGAATTTTGCCTGACTTTGAACTTTATATACAGGGAATCATACCTTATGTATTCTTCTGTTATGACTTTTTTGCTTAATGTTATGATTGTAACAATCACCCAGTTGTTTCATGTGGCTGTAGTTAATTCATTTTTATTGCTGTGAAAAGTTTCAACAAATGACCATGCCACAAACTATATAACCATTCTATTGTAGGTGGACTTTTGCGTTGTTTTCGTTTCTTTTCTTTTATGTCTAGTGCTGCTATGAATATTTTAATACATGAATTCTGAGGCACATCTATATACATTTATCTAGGCTAAATAATTACGAGTGAAATTGTTATATCATGGGGAATATGTCTTCAAATTTACCAGACATTGTCAAAAAGGATTGTACCAATTTATTCTACCACTGGCAGCGTGTAAGAGTTCCTAGTGCTCTCTATTCTTGCCAATTTTGTCAGACTTAATTTTTAAAATTTTAGCCAATCATGCGTGTGTTTTGGCATATGATTGTGTAAGATTGGAATTATTTCTCCCTTGAACTTCATAGAAATTTCTGGTGAAGCTATATGATCTAGAGTTTCCTTTGTGTAAGACTTTTGACTTCTTATTCAATTTTTAAAATAATTATGCATTTATGTAGGTTTCTCTTATTGAATAATTTTTGGTAAGTAAGATTATTCCTATGATTTTATCCATTTCATCTAAATTTTAAAACTTATTGGCAGGTGTCTAATATTTTATTATCTGCTTAATTTCTAAATCATCTCTAGTGATTTAGATATCTAGTGATTTTTCAGTAATTATTGTTTTTATCTTATTTCTTTTCTTCTACTTTCATTGAGTTTACCATTCTTTTTCTAAGTTCTTGAGTTGGATGCTTAGCTCATAAATATTGCCTTTCTTCTTTTCCAACACAGACTTAAGGTTGATTTTCCTTCAAATCACTGCATTAACTTCATCCTACAAGTTTTGATATTATATGCTGTGTTCTTGTTATTTTTCAGTCTAAAATATTTTACTTCCCTTATGATTTTTTTCTTCAACTCATGGGTTATTTTAAAGTGTACTCCTTAATTTTCAAACATAAGAGGAATTTCTTATCTTTTTATATTTAATCTGTAGCATTGTGGTCTGAGAACATACTGTACATGATTTTAATTCTTTGAAATTTGTTGACATTTGCTTCATGGTCCAGTATAAGGTCAGTTTTGATGTGTGTTCCATATTGCACTTGAAAAGAGTATCAAGTGTTGTTGGTTGTAGTATAACAGTTAAGATTGTTAATTCTGTTGTTCAAATCCTCTATATTTTTATAGTTTTTTTCCCAGATAATTCAGTCAACTAGTGTGAAAAATACATTAAAATCTCCATTATAATTGGATTTTTGTCTTTCACTGTATAGTTCTGTTTTTGTTTTCTATATTCTGAGGCTGCAATTAGTGACTGCAAATTTAGAAAGATTATGTTTCCTGATGAATTCTTGATAACCTTTTATGTCTTATAATTCTTTTTACCCTAAGGTTTATTTTGTGTGATATTTGTTTACCTTGTGTCATATTAGTGGGATTATTGCTCCATCACAACATGTGAGTTCCATGTGGGCAGCAGCTTAAAAACGTTTTGTATACTCAGCACCTGTGTAGGCACTCAATTGTTGAATGACTAGGTAAACATAAGGTGAAACTTAAGTTAAAATTAGTTGATTGGGGGGTCATCTGGTGTAGAAGGTTGAGTGTAATATACTTCCTCAGCTCATGGTATTATATTATCATTGGTTTATGCAAGGGCCCTTGATTGACTCTTGGTTGGTTGGTTAGTTGGTTAATTTATCTCCATTAGCTATTCTCCTTCCCACTTATGGGCAACTGACCTAATGTGTTTGAAATATGCCATAGAATTGTGAGTGTTCTTGTAAAAGATGTAATGTTTTTTTGGTATATGAATTTTTATTTGCATAAATGGCATGAGTTAGAGACCTCATTATATACCTTGCTTTTTAAACACTCAATGCCATATTTCTAAAGTCTACATATTGTTGCTATATTTTTAATGCTGTTTAAGTATTCAGCTGTTTTCATAGTTTTCCTTAATGTGCTTTCTTATTTTATTTATTCCATGAAATATAATTATGAATTTGTAATACATAATATAGGAAGGGGTATATTAGCCTAGAAATATCTAGTAATGAATATTATAAGTACTTATATTCCTTGAATTTACCCTAATTGTGCTCATTTTTTTAAGCTTCTGGAGTTATCCTGTACTCCTAGCTCACAGATCTCTTGTGTGCTTGCTCTCTGTCATGGGATAGAGTTAATTTTATCTTGAGTCTCTCCTCCTTGCAGGTTGGAATACTGTGGTCTGACCTCTCTCTGTTGCCAGGATCTTTCCTCTACTCTGAGCAGCAACCAAAGACTGATAAAAATAAACTTGACACAGAATACCTTAGGGTGTGAAGGAATTATGAAGTTATGTGAAGTCTTGAAGTCTCCTGAATGTAAACTACAGGTTCTAGGGTAAGTCTTCATCGTCTTCTCAGGGTAAAGCTCCCTGTAATGAGGGACTTGGGGAGCACTCATTTATTGCAGGCCTTAGGATCAACCTGACTGTGGATTCTTGGGTATTTTCAAGGCCCTTATTTGATTTTTCTCCCAGAGAACACTGAATTTTGGGAGACATAATGTAGCATAGTGGTTAAGAGCTGAGAACCCTAGAGCCAGACTAGCTAAGTTTGAATTCTGGCCCTGCCACTTACTGGATATTTGAACTTGCACTAGTCCCCAGGCTGTGTTTCAGCTTCCTTATTTGTAAAATGGGTGAAATGATAATATCTACCCATAGTCTTATTGTGAGGATCGATCACCTGAGTTAATATAGGCAGTATTTAGAACAGTGCCTAGAATATAATAAACAATGTATGTGTTAGCTATTTTCATCATCATCATCATTAGCAGTACTATTTTGCTTGAATAGATAAAGGCTCTTAGAGGATCCCTTTTAAATTCTAATCCATTTCTCTCTTTCTCTTCTATATTCCATTTTCCTTCAACTGCTATATCTCCCTCAGTGTATCCCCCATACTTTGCTTTCCCACTCCCCAGCCATGTTAATAACATTGTCTCTCTACTTTAACAGAACAGAAATAAATTCTCTGGATAAAGTATTAGGGCTGTGGGAAAATTGAGTGCAAGCAGAGATGTTCCTTTGTTTCCTCAGGTTATGCAAAGAGGCACTTGATGAGGAAGCCCAGAAGCTGCTGGAAGCTGTGGGAGTTAGCAATCCACACCTAGTCATTAAGCACGATTGTAACGATCATAATGAAGAAGATGATTCCTGGTGGCGGTGTTTCTGATTTGAAGAACCTCTGATAGTCTTTAAAAAAGTAAAATAAAAGACTTCAGAGTGACAAGGCCTGGGGCTCTTAGCTTTAGATATTCTGTGCCCACACTTGTTTCATTCGATGTCTGTTAGATATAGGTTAGTCACTTCTCTTTAAAATGTCTCTTCTATTTCACAAGGGAGTTTAGAGGCTAAAATAAAATGAAAAACATAAAGCTCTCTGAATAGTGTAAGATGATATTTTTTAATTGAATGCAGAGCTTAAGAATTCTGATGTGAGAAGCCTAGAAACGAGACGAGGGGATGGGGCTAGGGAAGATTATGTAAAGCACCTTGTTTTCCTCTCTCTCCACTCCCACTGCCATGGCGTGGTTCACAGCCTCGCCATCTCTGGTATGTTTTATTGAATGCTTCTTTGTGTCTGCTCTTGGGACCACTAGTGTAGAAATTATTGGGTATTTCTTAAAATGAAGATTCCTGGGACCAGCCTGGTGGCACAGCGGTTAACTTTGCATGTTCTGCTTCAGCGGCCCGGGGTTCGCGGGTTCGAATCCCGGGTACAGACCTACGCACCGCTTGGCAAGCCATGCTGTGACAGGCGTCCCACATATAAAGTAGAGGAAGATGGGCATGGATGTTAGCTCAGGGCAAGTCTTCCTCAGCAAAAAGAGGAGGATTGGCAGCCGAGGTTAGCTCAGGGCTAATCTTCCCCCCCAAAAAAAAACAAGATTCCTGAGCCGCATATCAGACTTACTGAATCAGAATATCTGGGTGAGGGTACTAGGAACTGGTATTTTTAATAATTTCCCAGGCAATTCTTAGGTATATTAATATTTGAGAATCCCTAGTCTCAACAGAAATGGGAGTCCACTTCTGCAGTGAACATTTTCTGTAGCTTATTATGAAGAAATGAAATATAAGATTATTGAGATTAGAACTGAAAAAAGCTTCCTCCATTTGACGGACACATGACACGGACACATGACACAACATTTTCTGTGAGATTGTTTTATTTATTGCTATATAACAAACCATCCCAAAATTTAGTGGCTTAAAACAACAACCACTTTGTTATGTCTTATGACTTGGTAGATTACAATTCAGAAAAGGCTCAGCTAAGCATTTCTTATGCCCTACATGACATCACTTGGAGTCCCTTGATGGTATTCAGCTGGCAGCCAAGTTGCTCTGGAGGCTCCAAATGATTTTACTCACATGCCTGGTGCCTTGGCAAGGAAGGCTGGAAGGCTGGGTTGAGCTGGGCCCCTCCTCCCTCTAGTCTTAGGGCCTCTCCACGTGCTCTCTCCAGCTGGGAAGATGGAGTTCTTCAGTGGGGGTTTAGGACTTGAGGAGGCTAAATGGAAGTTGCCATTTCTCTTAAAAGCTGGCCCAGAACTGGCATAAAATCACTTCTGTCATCCTCCATTGGTCAAAACAGTTCAGGTCAGCCCAGATTCAAGATCAGTCACTTCTTGATGGGAGCAGTGTCAAAGAATTTGTGGCCTTGCTTAGTCCACCATAAACTCTATCAATACTAGAAGCAATGCCATTTAAATTTTGAAAACATGCCTGCTATCACTACTATCAGATAATCCATGGGCCAGAATTAAGGTGCGGCCAGTGAGGTACTTATTCCAGGGGTTGTGCTAGTGTAGGGTTGGATGCTAATTTTTTGATTTTTGGTTATCATGGATATTTTTGCATTAATTTTGATTTTTAAAAATATTCCTCTAAAATATTACTCATCTTGACTACTGAGTTTTTTGGCATCTCCTTAAATTTTATGCATCAGGCAAATCACCAACCTCACCCTAAACCCAGCCTTGGGTTGGGAAGGGATTGCAATTTCAAATAGTGTAGTTAAGTCAAACAGGATAGTCAAAGACTCAAATAGGGTGGTATTTCTGTTATTCATTTCTAATTCTTACATTCAGCTCCACCTCTTGACCCCAAAACACCGTGTAAACCATTGACAATTAACATTACTTTCAAACAGAATAACACTGTCTTCAGCTTGACATTTTGTCCATTTTCCTTTGAACATATTGTTCTGTCTGTAATGTTTTTTTCTTCCTTCTTTAGTCTTCATTCCTTTATTTTTTAGATTATCATAGACCCTCTCCCAGCAAATAAGTAAACTTTTTTAAGACTAGAGAAAAGGGTGAAAACTAGCAGGTTCCTTTATAGCAACAGGAGGAAGGAGAAAGACTATGCACTCACACATTGTTAGAATTTTTGTCTCTTTCAGATGTAATTGTTTATTTATAAAACAGCCCCCTTTCCTGTTTTCACCTTATAATCTCCAACATTTACTATAGTGCCTCCCATGTAATAGATGCTCAATAAATATTTGTTGAGTGAATGAAAGAGTAAGTGAAAATTCTCCTTATTCAGAAGGCTGCATAATTTGGTTCCCCTTTACAATACGTCATTCTCCCCTATCACTAAACAACACAATGATTTCTTCTCAATTCCTTGAGTGCTCCAGGTTTTTCGCCACAGATGCGTTGCATAGGTGATCCTCTCTGTCCACTTTGCTCTTCCAGTCTTCACAGAGCTGGCTCTGGACCATCCTTTAGACTGCAGCCTAAATGTCACCTCCTTCCAGAGGTTGAGCGCTCTGTCTTAAGTACTACCCTCCCCCTTTTCCTAACAAAGCATCCTTTTTCTTTCTTTTATCACAAAGATTTACTTATTTTATTTCCTAATCGTCTATCTCCCTCACCACAGTGTAAGCACAGTGAGAACAGGGACCATGGCTCTTTCCTTCATTGTTCTATTTCCAGCTCACAGCACAGCGTATTGCATGTTGTGGTTTCTCAATGAATAAATGAATGAAAGCAAAAATATCCTACTCTTCCTAGGAACCTCTGTATTACTTTCCATCTTCCTAACAACTCCATGAAGTAGGTGTCTTGTTATCATGGGAAAACCTGGTGACTCTCACAGCTTGGGAACACACTGCGCTGGGAACGCCCAGCTCTCGGAGGCTTCTGAAATCGCAGCCTCCGCATACAGCGGCAGCCCCTGGATTCTATTCTTGGGGCAAGCGCGCGTGCTGCATTTCTAGTTGGCTTGTGAAAATTATTACTTTAAGTGTGGCGAATCTGGCCTCAGGTCCTTGGATGAAGCCTGAAGGGAGGCGGGTGTCGGGAGAGTCGGGGCGTCTGCAGTTCTGCCATGGTAGGAGGGGAGAAAACGAGCTCAACGGCCTCCGCAAGTGTGCCCGGTGCGCGGCGCCGCTTGCGAGCCTGACCTTTGACTGGCGGGGAGCAGGGGCCGGTATTCTGTGTCCTTAAGCCAGGCGCCCTCAGAACTTGGCATGAGGCCCCTGGTAGGGGCGTCGACATGCCTGGAAAGGACGCGCCCCCACCCCTGGCCTCCATAACTACAGAAATCAGGACCCTGGACAGCGCTTAGAGGCAGCAACCCCTTGCATTACCCCAGAACTTTTCCAGCTTTGCAGTTTCGCCACTCATAAGGGAGCCGAGGTCCTAATCTGTAAAACCACTTTCCTAAATACAGGCAGAAACCAATTCCCCAAAAGTGGACTTCACTAAAATTCACTGAATTAATATAAACTCACTGAAGTGATATAAATATGTGTGAATAAGAGGAACGTTAACAGACAAAAGTCTTTTGGTTCATAATATTGTTTGAATAAATGCCGGGGTACAGGTAATCAGATTCATAGACACAGAACGTATAATGGTGGTTGCAAGGGGTTGGAGGGAATGGAGAGGTGTTTAATGGGTATAGTTTCAGTTTTGCAAGATGAAAAGACTTCTTGAGATTGCTTCACAACAATGTGAATGTATTTAAAACTACCTGTAAAGAAATGTAATGTAAATGTTTTCATTGAAACAAAATTCTGACATAAAGGTTTAAAATATAGTTTCTTGCTTAGGAATCATCCCTGCTTCTGGGATTTGTAGTTGTAACCCCGGTCCTGTGACCATTAGGTAAGAAAAAGAAAGTTGATGTGGGGAAGACAGAAAAAATTATACTCATCAGACATCTTCCCCATGGCAAGAATTGCATAGACAAAGTAGCATCCTCCTCCACCCCTTTTCCCCAGATCTACCAGAAATAAATTTAGTTAGGACATGCCCTTAGCCCCCCTCATGCTGAGTGTGAGCACGCAGTCATGAAAGTATGTAAGCCAGCCCTTCATGGCTATATCTCTCCCTGTTTTAGACAGCCAATGTTTTTTGGGGTTTTTTTGGCAAGGAAGATTGGCCCTGAGCTAACATCTGTTGCCAATCTTCCTCTTTTTGCTTGAGGAAGATTGTCCCTGAGCTAACATCCATGCCGGTCTTCCTCTATTTTGTATGTGGGATGCCACCACAGCATGGCTTGATGAGAAGTGTGTAGGTCTCAGCCCAGGATCTGAACTGGCGAGCCCAGGGCCACTGAAGTGGAGTGCAGGAACTTAACCACTATGCTACTGGGCTGGCTCCGACAACCAATGTTTTAATTGCCCATTCCAATTCTCTATCAAATTACTACCCTGAGGAGGCTATCTCTCTGCCCATTGTTGGACATTATGAGCCATAAAGTATGTTCCTCGGTCTGAAGAAATGTGACTTGGTGATCCTAATTGGTGCAATATCTTCTGTTATGGTTCTTTTATAGTGCTCTGAGCATTCGTATTTATCACTAGGTAAGCAAAGTTTACTCCAGATTCAGTATCTATTCTTATGAAGACCAACTGGCTATCCACTTCAGTCTCACTTGCCAGCTATGTTCAGGGTCTTTCCCTCGGAGAATGTACCACATAGATATCTGCAGTCTCTCTCCTTTCTTGGCAGACAGACAGTTCTTAGTGGCATTCTGTGCTACAGAGGTACAAAAGGAGTATGTCTAGATTCAGTCCATTTCTGTGTTGCTGTTGTCCTCCAATCTACACTCATTTTATGCACCCAGGGGACCTCCTCAAACGAGTGCACCAGAGTATCCACTGGTCAATTCCAATCACCTGTGAACCTCCAAGTTGCTTTTTCTTTATGAACATCATGTGTTACTATAATGCATCCCTGAAATTCTCATAGTGATTTCAATAGGGCCATGCCTCATGTGGGCATCCCTTTAATAGGCCAGTTTTCCATTGCCCTTCTGCCCAACCATATGGCCAGGCTATTGGACACCACCCATAAGTCAGTAAAAGCTCAAAAATAGGGGCTTTTATCATTGTTCAATTCTTCAATCGCTGCTAGGAA